AGAGAGAGAGAGAGAGAGAGAGAGAGAGAGAGAGAGAGAGAGAGAGAAAAAGAGTGAAACAAAGGAAAAACATAAACAATAGCAACAACAACTTATATTAGAATTCATCATTCAAATCCATATCCGATTGGTAGGAGTCGTTGATTAGAAAAAAATCAAAATAATATTTAAGTCGATAATTAAGTGGCGCCAAAGTTTTATAGGACAGAACTGAAGAAGATGTTTTGCAACATTTAGTTAACTTATACATTTGTATATGTTAACTTACAAATATATTTATACATATATGTAGATATGCATTCATATGTATAAACATTTTTACCTATAACTCTTGACAAGAAAATCATAAACTTTGTAAGTAATCGGTGCTGAAGCTTAGTTGACGTAACACTTTTAATAAAATTGTCGGTTTTAAGAGTTTCTGTCTCATTAACTTTGGGACAAAAATGTCTTTAAGGTTTTTCAAAATGTACCTGGAAATACTAGAAATTAAAGTTCTCTACGAATATTCAGATTATGACTATTATTGTTATTCACCTGTTTGTATAGAAGTGTACTTTTTGAAAACATTTGTATAACCATAAAAGGTAACATTTTAATTGACTTCTTCGCCTACTTACTTTACTTGTTATTGCATTACTGAAGCTTTAAATCATTTGTAAATAGATTTCAACATTTTTTTTCTGTCGTATTTCATGTCAAACCATATTACAATGCATTCTCATTAAAGAGGAATTTCCGTTGACTTAATCGGAATAGAAAAAATTTGAATACGTTTATATACATATTGCCTCCCTCTCTTATAGCCACATGCACATTGTAGGACAATCATCTTAAGTATATATATATATATATATATATGCATATATTTTTCTTGTAATCTTTCTATCAATATCTGGCATATTTTCTACATCTCAGGCAGTTTTTTTCCCTTAAGATCTCAGCATTTAAGCTATTGATCACCACTGTGTCATGTTTTAGTTGTCTATATTCGTCACAGTGGCTGCATTAGGTTTTCTTTGCGTTAAACTACGCATCGCATTTGATCATCATTAATAAGGGGAATCGAAATCGTCTGTTCAGGAAGTGAACCACCAAAAAAAGGAGAATTTTTTGACATGCCTTTTGGGTGGAAGGAAAGGTAACAGACTTTATTACATTTATATTTAAGAGTAAAAGCAAATATTAATATTGCGGATGATAATTTTACGAGGCTCCTATCCATTTAATGCGGTTCTACATGCCGACATCTAGCGAGGTGCGCAGAGCCTTTTCGAAAAAAATGGGTTTTTGTGCTATTGCCGCGTATTTGAACGAAAAAGTGCAATTTTCGATAGAATCAGGACCTTTTTTGTTGGTAAAAACAAGCGGAAACACTATAGTGTGTGTATGTAAGACTATAGTGTGATGCGGCCAACCATTAAACACCCGGCACTGCTTTGTTTAATGCATATATTCGTAGAAAGACCTTTCAAAATAAGGGTTTATAGGGGGCTTAATCGAAAGTTCCTAGGCTGACGATTTGATTTTAAACAAGTAAAAAAGTTATAGTGGGCCACGATCCACTATTAAACAACCTAAATCTCTCTGCTTAAAATAT